TAGAACGATTAATTTCTTTTACCGAAATAGTGGACTTTCCTCGAAGCAATAAATGAATGTGTCGAAATTAAGTAATTTGGGCTCGAAATTATAAATGAAATCTTACCTGTTCAGACCGGTGTTTTTGATACTTGAATGGATTTTACTTGCATGCAAAATCTGTTCTTTTGCGAATAATTACACTTATTTAAGTCTTAAATAATATATTGATCACTTTTATTATAATTTTTACACAATTTATATTAGATTATATTGTTTTTATACGGATTTCAAATTTTTATTATTTTTTGCTTTGTGCATAGTTGTAAAAATAGGTACTTTTATACTAAGACAGGGTGGTTCATTGTGATTTCAAGTTAATTTCAATGAAATTAAGCCAAATTACTTGATTTCATATTAACAAAATGTATGGGAAATTACTTAATTTCGTGTAGATTTCGATCGAAATCTCGAAATTACTTTTTTTCGTTTGGTCTGAATGGGCTATATTAATTTAGTGTAAAAATAATGATTTCACTAGGCTTTTAAAAACTATTTTTAAAATAAACATTTTTAAAATTTTAAATATCACTATTATTGAGTGAGGCTTATATTTTTCAATTCCTCACTAAACATAAATAAAAAGTAGTGAATAATTTTGCACTACCACTAATTACCCTGTGTGACCCTGTGACACTGAACCCCCCACTGATGTCTCTTTGGTGTCGTATGCAGTCATTTCATCAGGTGTCAACATCGACGACATAAGCGCTAAAATCATCCAATACTTGGCTACCATTCCAGACTTTTTTCTGGAACGCAATCTTAGGTTATCTGCTTCTAAATCCTCGGTATCACTTTTCACCTCTTGGACCAAAGAAGTAAGGACGGCGCTAAACATCTCCATCGAAGGACGTACTATCCTCACGGTTCAAAACCCGAAATATTAGGGGTAGTCTTTGACATCCTTCTTCACTTTGCAGGGCACGCAAACTACATCAACCAAAAGGTTCGAAACAGAAACAAGGTCCTTAAAGCTTTAGCTGGCACCTATTAGGGCATGGATAAAGACATATAAGGCTATTGGTCGCTCTCTTCTCAATTATGCTGCCCCAGTATGGACCTCTTTCCTCAGTGATACCCAATGGCGAGGTTTACAAACGGCTCAGAATAATGCACTTCGAATCTCAAGCGGATATGTCAAGATGACGAATGTAGATCATTTACATGAGGAGACCAGGTTACTGTCTGTCAGACAACATAATGTATTGTTGACTAGACAGTTCCTGTTGGCATGCCATCTGATGGAGGATCCCCCTCCCAGGCACATCCGGATGAACCTCCGACGTTTTCACAGCGACATCCAAGACGTCATACCATCGGACGTCGACAGACTGTCAATTGCAAGCGCCCGGGAAAAGATGCATCAAATGACGGTCACCGAGGCCATTATGGCTACAGATGCAACAGAGTCCTAAATGAACACCCCCCTGCGATATCGGATTGTGAGAGACTATTACCCAGGCACTCTAGAACCGTCATGGCACCATTAAGAGCCGGCTGGTGCAGTTTCCTCAACTGCTACCGTGATCGTATCATTCCAGGCACTTTTCAATTGTCCTGCTAGCTCTACAAGTTTGCTAGGTCTACAAATTTGGTTAAGACCGAATGAGGTGGCGCAATTTCTCCAGCTCCCCTTTCCACCCACAGACACAAATTCAAATAATTAAGTCTTTATTATTCTAATTTCAGGAAAGCACTATCGGCCACAGTCCAACTGTTACAACAACACTGTGTGACACTTAAATACACTCATTACGCGATATAATCCTTTTTGTAAACCTAGATGAGTAGATCATTTTACCATTTTTAGAATCTTCAATATACCCTAACAAGTAGGAAAGTATAGTAGGACATGGCGGACTATATGATACCCTACACCATGGGTATATTTTGAAAATTATTTATTTTAAATAAAGAAACTTTTATGTTGAATTTTACATTAATTCCGATGTATTTAAGCAATTTATTGATGAAAAACTAAATTTCTAAAAGAGGCTTTATATGGAAGTTAGGGTCAAATATAGGCCGATCCTCAACAAATTGGGAAGAGGGATGTAATTTTTTATAGAGGTTAGTTATGCTGAATTTCATCTCGATAATAATGGTCATAAATACATTTTTGGACGTTTTCGGACGGACATGTCTTAATTGACTCAAAAAGTGATTCTGGGTCGATCGGTATACTTTAAGGTGGGTGTAGGACCAATATTTTTATGTGTTACAAACATCAGCACAAACGTATAATACCCTTCCCACTATAGTGGAGTAGGGTATAAAAATCGGAAGATATTAGAAAAAAAACGCTTTTTATTTGACTTGACAGACTAAAAAATTATATCTCATAATTTCTTTAACCGATTTAATATTTTTCAACTGTTTTGAAAAGATTTTCCTTTATACTTTTTAAAAAGTACACACACTTTTATATTTTTTACGGAAATGTGTAAAATATTTAGATCTAAATACAAATTTTTATATTTTAAATTTTTTTTTTTACAATTCAAGATCATTTTTGACCCACACTTTATACTTTATACTTTTTAAAAAGTACACACACTTTTATATTTTTTACGGAAATGTGTAAAATATTTAGATCTAAATACAAATTTTTATATTTTAAATTTTTTTTTTACAATTCAAGATCATTTTTGACCCACACTTTATTTGAAAACATATTTTTTAAATATTTTTTATTTTAGCTCATACTTTTATGAATAAAATAAGATTTAGAAGGTTGAAATCAAATAAAAACTGACAAAAACAATTTTTTTTCGTAAAAACAAAAATTTACCATATCTATCATAGCTAAAGTTAATTATACATTTGAATAATAAAGCTTATATTTTTGTTGCATCTTACGTTGATATTTTACTTTAGCAAAGAGAGATTTGTTAAATTTTAGTTTTTAGGAAAAAAATCTATTTTTGTCAGTTTTTATCTGATTTCAACTTTCCGTTTGTATTTAGATCTAAATATTTTACACATTTCCATAAAAAATGTAAAAGTGTGTGTACTTTTTATAAACAGTTGAAAAATATTAAATCGGTTAAGAAAATTTTGAATTATAATTTTTTTTTCATGCATGTTTCTCCTAAATACGAACCAGTTTATTACACCGTCCGACAAAGAGAAAAATTCGTTAGACACGAACCGAATGATATACGTCTGAAACTATAAATTTAATGGAGAAAAACTGAGTTTTTAGTTTTTCATTTCATGATCCGGTCTGTGTACTTTTTAAACGACTTCAAAGTTTTAAAAAGTACATTTTTAAAAAAATGTTTTAAAATATTTCTACTGATCAAACAATGTCAAATTTGATGTCAAGCGAACAAGAAGAGTTGGGAAATATTTTGTATTATTTTTATTTTATACTGTCAGTATAAAGTAATGTCAAGAATAACTTTTAAAATTTGAATCCTTTAATATCTATTTAGGCTTTCAATATTAGTTTTTCAAAAAATGTTTCAAAGACATTTTTTACATCTTTTGATCTTGATAGAATAAAATAAAAATAACACAAAATATTTTATAACTCATCTTAAATATTAAAATTTATTTTAAAATACTTTTTAAAACTTTTTTGACGAAATGAAAAACTAAATACTCAGTTTTTCTCCATTAAATTTATAGATTCAGACGTATATCATCCGGTTCGTGTCTAATTTTGAGTGTGGGACGGTGTTATAAGTTGAAGCCATGCATTTAATACTTTTTTTGCACTTTTTCGGACCATAGTCGAATAACATTCACACTATGAATAAAAATTCGATATTTGGATGTCAAAAATAAACCATATTATTTCAATGACATGCTTATGTAAATTTCATTGGTTTTTTCACCAAAGTTTAATGTACTCTCTCCTCACTTTTAACTGGGTTTTCATTTGTAAGCAAATATTTGGTTTATAAAATCGAAAAACATGTAATCGCTTTTTTGGATGTGATTAAGATGTCGTTTGTAAAGTATGACATCAATTATTTTTTGCTGGGTTATAGAGCTCGGAGTTCAGGACTTTCTGGTGAAGTGGATACTATGCATGCTTTGCAGTAGAATTATAAACTCAAACCTAGGGAACACCACTCCTCTACTGTGGCTACTAGAGGTTAACGGTATTCTAAAGCTATTTGACGTGGTGCTACTGTTTAATGGAAAATTTCTATCCATGATTAGTGACATTATGGAGACTGCACTAGGTGAACTCTCCTTATGGGCGAAAGATAGGGACTAGACGTAAATCCTGGGAAAAAGGAACAGGTACTATTTACCAGAAGGTACAAGGTAGACCACTTCAGACTGCCAAAGTTAGATGGCGTGGAACTAAGTTTATCTAGAGTAGCTAAGTATTTAGGGAATTTCCTTCATAGCAAGCTGTCATGGAAGGAAATTACTCAGGAAGAAGAATTCTATAGGAAAGAATTGGGGTCAGCAAGCAGATATGGTAGATTGGATTTACACATCGGTTGTAAGGCCTATTCTAACTTATGGTTGCATTGCTGGTGAAGGCTTTGAGAAAGGACAGTTATAGAAAAATTACCAATAAAGCTCAAAGCTGTTACTGGTGCCATTAGAAGCACTCCATACAAAAATTCTGTACGAAGTAGGTCAAGGTACTTGATCAGGGTAATTCCCCTCGTGGAATTACGGATTACTATTCTGGACTTCGGGGAAACACCTCTGATTGAATTTCCAACTAGGGATTATTAGCTTGTATCCGATAAGCTGTATGGTGGGTTTGCAGTATTCACTGATGTGTGCAAGGTGGATACCGGCACGGGTGCCGGTATCCACGCATATGTATACCCTGTGCTTATGGTCTCCGAGTGGATATGCATCTTTTTATGGTACATAACCCTTCTAAACCCAAACCATGCGTTGCCATATGGCAACGCCAGCAAATAAAGGGTTAAAAATTGTATAATAAATATTATCTTGAATGTATTCGAATAAACACATACCTGTAGATGTGCAGCCTATCCGAAAAAGGTATCCAATCTAATTTTGGCTGTTCGCCGCATTGTTGGCCAATTGCAGCAAAAATATCTCCGATTTTTGATAAACTTTCTGACAAAGATTTATTGCTTGATGGAGGTGCACGTCTTTCATCAATGGAAATTGCCCTCGATAAATCAGATAATCCATCACCAATGCGCTGAAATTCTTTCTTTGATTGAGTCTGATATCGTTTTGTCATGTCATTTGAAATTGCTAACAAATTTCGGACCGACAGGTCCATGGAATGAATAAACTGTGAACAACTATCCATTTGTGAATCTACATAAGATGGTAGTAATTGTTTTTCTGGAGGTGATATAGCCCAACAATAAGTAATGCCTACGTAAGTGTCGCGTTCTGCTTTTCTTTTTCCCATTTTCCAAACCTTTTCATCATTACACGTTAAGAAATGGTGCCAAACCTCGCATCTAGATAAAACAGGATGTCGACAAACCCAATCAACAAATTCCTGCAACTGCACACGTCGATGTTCAACAAATTGTTCTTCATACCGACCAGATATTTGCTTATCAGGTAAAGGTGGAATTGGAATAAGGCAAAACTTGTCCACCAATCTCTCATGTAACCAATCAAAATGTTTATATCGCCGAGACACCTATATAAAAGTATTAAAAATTATTACACGTTTTAAAAATTGAATTAAAGGGAATTATAAATTTATGTCTTAATAATAAGTAAACTAAAAATAAATATTTCAAATACTTTTATTTTAAATAAAAGTTAAATCTTATAGTAAAATCAAATGTATTATTGGGCATAAAATATTTCCTATGCATCACGAAAACTTTAACAACTTCTAAGAAAAACTAAAAATGTTTAAAGCACATCTTTTTATAAAATCAATCAGAATTAATAGAATCTACAAAAAAATCGTTAAAGTTCTAAACAATAACATTTATTTATTCTTTTCTTACATCACAGTGAGACAAAATAAACGAAAATTCAAATACCTGGGAAGTGATACTATTTTTCTGAAAGGTGGATCCGAGTAGAACAAGAATATGTTTTTGAAATTTGCCAAATACCTCCAAAATCTTGAGTTACGGGTAAAAACCCGGTTTTTCGTACCTTTAGGCACTTTTAAGTCAGTAACTTAGTTAAATCTGAACCAATTTTAAGTTTATTCACGGATTTAGAAAGTAGAAGCTAAGGCCTTTATAATGACACTAGCTATACCCAGTGTGCTTCGCTACCCTCATCGTAATGGAATAAAATAAATATTATTGTAAATGTATATATATCTGCAATATCAAAAAGTCCCCTATTTAAATTTATGTTTATATATTCAATATTTTAGAAAACTCAAAAAGTACCAATGAAGTACGAAAAAGTAACAAAAGACCTCTTTTATTTAATTTCATGTTTCTAGGTTCAATATTATAGAAAATTCAAAAAGTACCAGTTGAAAAACGAAAAATTACCAAAGGGTCCCCTTTTATAGATTCTCATTAACTCCGGGCTCCACATGGTTAATTTCATGTTATAAAAAACACAAAAAGTACCTTTCGAAGAACGAAAAATTACCAAAAAGTCCTCTTTTATATGTTCTCACTTACTCCGGGCTCTACGTACTTAATTTCATGTTTCTAGGTTCAATATTATAGAAAATTCAAAAAGTACCTTTTGAAGAACGAAAAAGTACCAAAAAGTCCCCTCTTATAGATTCTCATTTACTCCAGGATCTATATGCTTAATTTCATGCTTCTAGGATCAATATTATAGAAAATTCAAAAAGTACCTTTTGAAGAACGAAAAAGTACCAAAAAGTCCCCTTTTATAGATTCTCATTTACTCCAGGCTCTACATGCTTAATTTCATGCTTCTAGGATCAATATTATAGAAAATTCAAAAAGTACTTTTTGAAGAACGAAAAAGTACCAAAAAGTCCCCTTTTATAGGTCCTCACTTAATTCGGGCTCTACATGTTTAATTTTATGTTTCTAGGTTCAATATTATAGAAAATTCAAAAAGTACCTTTTGAAGAACAAAAAAGTACCAAAAAGTCCCCTTTTATAGTTTCTCACTTAATCCAGGCTCTACATGCATACTTTCATGTTTCTATTTTCAATATTATAGAAAATTCATAAAGTACCTTTTGAAGAACGAAAAAGTACCAAAAAGTCCCCTTTTATAGATTCTCATTTACTACGGACTCTAAATGCTTATTTTCATGTTTCTAGGTTCAATTTAATAGAAAACTCAAAAAGTACCAGTCGAAGGACGAAAAAGTAATAAAAAGTCCCCTTTTATAGATTCTCATTTACTCCGGGCTCCACATGCTTAATTTCATGTTTCTAGGATCAATATTATAGAAAATTCAAAAAGTACCAGTCGAAAGACGAAAAAGTACCAAAAAGTCCCCTTTTATAGATTCTCATTTACTAAGGGCTCTACATGCTTAATTTCATGTTTCTAGGTTAAATTTTATAGAAAACTCAAGAAGTACCAGTCGAAAGACGAAAAAGTACCAAATAGTCCACAGTGGGGCAGAATGGAAATTTTTTGGAAATAAATCTGGCATTTCTAAACGGCTGATCCGATCGGGATAAAATTTGGCGTGAGCGTAGCCAAGGAGTATTCGAGTTTAAGTTTTGAAGATGAACCCTGCAGATGCCCCAGGGACGGCGCTGTGGCGGCTCAAAGTAGGGTACCTACGACATGTAAAATTTTTAAACTCGTGCCATTTTTTTGTTTTTTACCCAAATACAAAGATTTTAATATTTTGTGAAAGCGCTCGACGAGATCTTGAAAAAACATGCTTGGACATACTACTTATCTCTTATAATATCCGAGTTATATTCATTTAAAAATTTAGTGATACAAAATTTACCATACCTTGGTCCGCCTTTTTTTGAATACCATGCGTAATTTTGGACCAAATGGACTCAATTTTTTCTTGTTAGTTAGACAACAAAATTTCCAATAATATACAAAAAATTTCAGATCAATATCGTTTACAGATCCAAAAATATACGTTTTTTAATTTAAAAATTCAAAAAATTTTAGATTTTTGGCGTTTTTTTGCCAAAAATGTGTCTTAACTCTTTTATTAATAAAATAAAATTTTTATTAAGAACATATAACAATTTTATAGTTTTCTAAAAGGTATCTTTACGCAGAACGCTTTGGCGTAAAAAACTTGTCCTATTTTTTGAAAATGTTGCCACTGCGTCTTTCCGAATATGACCTATTTTTTATCAAAACTTCAACTTTGGGCGACATGTTCTAAAATCCCAAAGCTGGGATCAGAAAACTGAAAGCAGTTTTGGAAACCTCAATATGTTTTCTATTTACTTCAAAAGTATTTTCCCAGCCCTGAAAGAAATGTGGACCGTATGGGCAAAAAAGTAAAAAATCCCATTTTTGGGATTTTCATTCCTATTTTTGGGAATTGCGGGATGCCCTTTGACCTTTTCAATTTTTTTTTGCATATTCTTATTTGAAATGACAAATTTAACAAGCGTTGAAAATTTCATTGAGTTTTGTTCATAAATAAAGATTTTGTCATATATTACAATTTGTTTAATTTCTAAAACTATGATTTATATCAAAATTTTAATAGGATCGCAGATAGCTACAACAATTTAGTCCATATTTATCCCTTAATATCATTCTTTAGTTAGATATGGAAATTCTCGACCCTTTACAAAAAATTTCAAGCCAATATCTCAATTACATTCAAAAATATGTTCATTTAAACCTGTGTCCTTTAATTTCATCTTTTTCATATTTTAGTATTAAGTATGACAGCACATATTTAAATCTTATATTTACCTATTTTCTATTTGTTTGCTTATCCTTATAATTGAAAGGTCCTATTATGCTTAAATTTTCAAAAATTTATAACTATTTTTTACCTAAATTTTTTCGACAGATCATTTCGTTCTGTTTCGTTTATGATCATGTAGGTAAAAATATACAGGTAATGATAATTTCGATTCATTCACTAATAAGAAATATCAATGACTGAATTACAGGTTATAGTAATATAGTCCTAAATGTTAATAGGTAGACAATTCGTAATTTTTTACTTTGGAATACCTGTATCGGAAATGACAAGAATTGGTATATAAGTAAACTTCTCAGATTTTAAGTACCATATTTAATAAATCTACAATGAAGATTACATTAAAGTACGAAGAGTTGTGTTCCGTTTTATGGAGTATATCTTCAAAAGGGCCAGAAAGAATTGAAGACATTTCAAATTATATAAAAACTACATATAGTAGAAAAGTAGACAAAACAGGCATATCAAAAATTGAAAACTTTTTACAACTTTTTGATGTAAAAAGTAAGTCTGTGGATGGAAATCAAAAGAAATTTCGATTAAAATTTTGTAGTTGGATGGAAACTACTACGGAAATCTCAACTTACAACACATCAATAGGAGCGCCTTGCAAGTCATACGAAGACTTATGTTCAAGGTAAAAAAAAGAGGGTCACACAAAAACTTTTTTCAATCTCAAATGAGGAAATTGCTGATACATTTAACGAAATGCTGAAAAAGGAAAACCAACATATGGATGTCGTACATATTGCAACTATTCTTCCTAATGCATCACCAAAACGACTTAAGCGAATTGTGGAAAGTATACCAACTCCAACATCATAATCAAATTTTACTGAAGAGGAAGCAATAGCGCTTATGTTGGAACTGGGTCTCAGTCGAAATAAGTACCAAATATTAAGAAAAGCTCTGCATGAAAAAGGACACAATATATTACCATCATACAAGGCGATCCAGGAAAAAAAAAAACAAACTATCGTACTAAATCAACAAAAAATAATGAAGAATTGAAAGAACTGAGAGCTGCGGAAAAAAGCAGAATCCAAGAAGAATTTAAAGTTCAGATGGGATTAAACATCGACAAACCACTTTCAATTTGCGGTAGTACAAATGACGGTAATACGTCGAGAAGGTTTTTTCGTGATTTTGAAATTACTTCAAAAATAACTGGAATCGACAAGGAGTTGCTTCGAAGAGTTAAAACTATTTTAATGGCACTGAATAGTAAACATAAAATTAATGAAAATCGATTTGGGGAATACACATCTGAAATTTCTAAATTACTTGTATCTCTGTATCCATGGAGGGAACTAACACCAACAGTACACAAAGTATTGTGTCATGGTCAAATAATAATTGAATCGAATATTCTTCCACTTGGAGAGTTAACAGAAGAAGCCCAGGAAGCGACGAATCGAGATTTTAAGCATGTTCAACTATTCAGCTCAAGAAAATGCTCCAGGCAATCACAGAATGAAGATATTTTTAATAGTTTACTTCTATCTTCTGATCCTGTTCTTTCAACTATGCGAAAAAGATGGATTTGTTATGAAACTCTATCATCTCAAAACAAGGAAGATTTAAAGGACTTATATTACCTTCTGGATATGTATACCGATATGACAGATTATTTTATAGAAAATAAGTAGTGTTAGGAATTAACTATATAAGTAGGTTGTAAGAATTAATTGTATTATGTTTAAGATAAACAGTTCAAATAAAAAAAGCTATTATACTAACTGATGATATTGTATTAAATTGTGTTTTATATTTCGGTGGGCGGGAAAGGTAATTTGTGTGGGGTGATT